GTACTGCATTGTGATAGCTGATATATCATCACCGTTGCAGTTACGCTTACGGTCGATAGCTATTCATTACGATCGATACGTATCAATCTTCTCGAAGAATGAGACATTATTTAAAAGAGATGTGGCGTCTAGCGGATGCATCAGTTAATGGCCACCACGAAAATACTGGAATCTGACGTGGTGTGACGGTTTGTGTGCATCATCGATCCAGTGACCAATACTGAGGATTGTCCACGGGCCAATCACAGTCTCATACCAGGTTGGCCAATGGCTAGATGTTTGAACAACACAGCCACCCGGTCCTACAGGTTGGGTGTTGGAATGGCTGCGGCGACTTGTCTTGTGGAAATGGCAATGCGCCCGCATTTTTCTCCAAATACCGCTGCATTGAGATTTGGCTTTTGAGGTGAAGGCTCTGGTTAAAAACCCTAATTGTCCTCTTGTCTGGGTGCGGGCACCATCGCAGTACCGTAATCAACGCACAACCATAAATTGCACACATGCAAATAAACTCGCTTAGCATTGAGTTTGCCACAAATAACACTACTCAACAGATGGTGAAAGTATTAAGCCAAGTTAGGATGCCTCATTCTGTCAACGATTGGTCCATAATAGTTCATGCTCAAAATGCCATATCGGTGAGCGAAAATACAAGTTATTCCATTGATAGTGAATCCCTCTTAACCAGTGTGTTTCATAGGTTTTCTATCTGTCCACCCAATCCCATACCCTTCTTTTTGACTACATGAGAGAACTTACCCTTCTAGGTATATTTTCTACGGGACAGTTTTTAAACAGGCAGACACGGCAGGCAGTCTGCTAAACCCAGGTTGGGCTGTCATTTTTCATGATTTGATCGCCAGGCAATTAACCTCTACTAACTCAGCAAGAAAATAAAGACATTTGTTTGATGGTATTTTACCAATCATTAAAGTTGAACGATTTACACCTATTTCCACCCTTGACAATTTAGTGCACCCCAATTACAGACAGTGAAATATGAGATGTCTTGTCAACGAAGAATTTCGGTCCCACCGGGCAAATATCGGAGAACCTACTGCCTGCCACTCATCTATAAGTGTGGTTTCATCAGGTTATTACACAGAGCCGGGTGGATCAGCGCGGCTAACTGCTTAGAGAATGAAAATGAGTTTTTAACCCAGGCTTAAAAACACAAAACGTTTATCAAGGCCCTGATCTACGAGGATATGGGAGCCAAATGGACGGCTGAAAAGAAACCGATATCTCTAACATTACAGTAGTGCCGTGTTCACTTGACTGATGAAACGCGCCATATAACAGTGCACGTGTACGACAGAATAATTGTTTCCTGTTGACCGCTTGGAGAATCGCGCTGACAGAACCAGGACGCAGACCGACAGTTTATGGTCCGTATCGTCGTGTCCGAGTCAACTGCGGTGACAGTTACGTAGGTAGAGCAAAACGTTACGGACGTCAACATACTGATAAATATTATCACCAATACAGTTTATCCCAAGAGTCGGTTCACGACTCGATCAATAAATGCGCTTGCCGTTTGCATTGGTTTCAAGGCACGTGCCTCAGGCGGGTCCTAAACTGAACTTGCAGAATATATTAACTGACTTGTTAGGCGAAACAAGACTCAACTTGACCATCAGTAAAGCCACTGTTGGGGAAATTTTGGTCACACGAGTGAACGGTTTTGGAAATCATGGCCTGTTCAGTTTTCCAGTTTTCATCTGCGGTTGTTTTCGCCATGAGTACCTTTAAACCGATTCTGCATTATGTAGAAAGTATCGGTTGATAATATTATTCAAAATGTCTGTAATATATTTCACCGCTTTAACCAGAGCGTTAGTGAACGAAATACACCACCGTGTCATGCTTTGGCAATGGGATGAGCAGGAACAAGGATAAAGGTTGAGGAAATACACTCGATTCCACATTAGTTTGGTGCTAACAGGTTAGCTAACTGAATCCTATCTGGATCAACTGTTTGTGAAATCGGTGAAAGGTTTACATCAATCTTAAGAACCGTGTTCCGTTGAGAAGAAATGGACGTTGTTAGATAGGAAGAATCACAATACCACGATTCTAATCGAGGGGGGTCGCGGGCCCGAATCCTTCTAGGGGCTGATGACATGCGACGAGACAACGCGCTCAAGAGCGACAATTGTGCAGTACTACTGGGCTGTCCACAGTACATTAACTTCCATTACTTGCCAAAATCTGAGTTCAATGGTCAATTTACGGTCGACATCATCACATGACTTTTACCATAATAAGCAGCACAACTGCTATATCACGGAATAATCACAAGACGGCAATCAACCTACCCTAATGCATAGAAGGAAGAAATATGGCCAGTGGTTAGTTCGAAATGACTTACCAAAACACCGGTACCATTCTCGGAAGTTTTAACGTTGCTTCCTTTGTATCCAAACCCAAAAAGTACTTAACTTCATACCGCATCTCGATTCAGCCACTTAGGTCAAATCTTATCATAATCGGTGGGAGTCTGAAATTTACTTGAAATAGCTAAATGGTTCTAGGTCAAGCTCTAACCAGGTCTTGAGGAGCAGGTTGTGAGGACCGACGAACCATCGTAGGCCTAACTGGTTAAATCCGCCAATGCTTACTTGCGATCCTTGTACGATTAGCTTCGCCTTACTTTCGTTCTCCCCGCATGCAAAAGTGCAGACGGGCACTTACCTACCGATCAACGTGATGGTTCGCCTGCCTACCTTCGTCGCACACAGTAACGAGCCGCCAACTATAGGTTGTTGGATCAGGTGCATAAATGTCTTTTCAAATGCGTATAGCTCATTGTGAGCTGACCGGAATCGCTGATGCACCTAAGGACTTCAACGGTCCAGCGTGGGTTTTAGGTACCGACAGCATGTGTGGAGGTGCTGAAAACAATTATCTGCACATCCGAACGCAGGGAACATTGACCAGTCAAAAGCAGATGCTACTAGTGTACGTTCCCCTGCCTCGGTGTTTACGAGAAAGATGAGCGAGTTGCTTTTGGCAAAACTTGCACTGGAGTCGGTGAATGGACTTCTCAATAAGGAGTATAATGTAATCATGAATTAGTGCAACAGAACAAAATAACAACTGTGAGAACAATTCGCACAAATAACAACGGAATTACAGTGAACTTAGATTACCATTACTCAGTAGATATTCTAACGACTACTATTGCATTAACAAACTATGGACATTACGGACATCTTGCTTTCGGCAATGCGCATGCTGATCCGAACTCTCAAGACACTCTCATTTTATCTAACATACCAACAGACACTAATGGTTTAGTAAAGTAGAATCACTGGACCATTGGACTAACGCTCAGAAGTCTCCGTATGGTTTAGCAACTTGTTTAGGTCGGGCTGTCTCAAAACTGTGTTGATGTGGAATGCCTTGAAAACCAGCCGAATCATGTTCAACACGGCAACTCTTCGATCGTTGTGAGATTGTTGAATTCAGAAGAACTACAGGAAACGCCGTGAATTTGAGCGTTTGCATTTCCAGCATGCTTCTTTTTATTAGCGGAGACTATTCTTGACAGTACGTATCGGAGGAATAGGACTGTTGGAAGATAGGTGAATGCTTTTTCTTAGTGTTCTCAGCGGCACGCACACAACCTCACTTCACATTTAGACATAATGAATTTCAGTTGTGCACGCGCTTCCAGAATCACTTTATTTGCTCGGACATTTTGCTGCGTCCAGTAGCTACCTCAAAGTTTATCGTGGGGATCGGATGTGGATAGCCAATGGATGTTTTCACTCGACATCACAGTTTACTGAAAGGAATGTATCGAGACTATCGGTTTCTTCACTTGCAGTATACGGTCAGATTGAAAAACCCTTGAGTTCCAAAAATCTATAATATTCGGAAGTGAATCAGCTCAACCGAGCAGATTTAACGTTTCTTTTCTCGGATGTCAATAGTTAATGATAATCGGCACCAAATCCAGTGATTGGGTGTAAAACTCCACCTAGAGGCCAGGACTTAACCATGAATATCCTGGTAAAGCCCCCAAGTAGTTAAAAATTCAGATGAACATACTCAAATTCACTGTTTTTACGACAAAACCAGAATAACCTTACTCGTTCATGTATAGTACCGTAGTTCAGCCATCCACAGATGTAGAGTCAGTCACGCCGCTGCGCTAACATACATATCATAAACCCGAAAAGTTCAACAAAGCTTACGGCAGTCACTAGCCTAGAATAGCAAACACTAGACTTCCTTAAGGACTGTATCGTTGTATGGCTACGAACCCTTGTCGATTCGGTGGGAGGATCTCAGACAGCTTCAGATCTTTGACCACGGATGCTCCAGAAATATAGCTGGGATCGACTAGAACCGGTGAATTTGGAAATGGGCAATTGGGAGACGGGTTTTCGATACTTCACACAAAGAATGCGACCAGTACCGCGAGCTTATTTGACTTGGTCGTATTACGCGTGCCAAGAATTTTTTCGCTGCCGAATTCGGAATAACGAAAATCTAGAGGTAGATATGATATGATATGGCAGGAGAACGAAGGAAGTTATGGAATGTTTCGATGCCGTTCGTGCTGTTCTTCTCACACGTGACCCTCCGTGCGCGTGGCTGGAGACACCGACGTTAGTGGCTGTCAGTTTCTACTCAGATTGTATAATTGATGATTGAAGATTCACGCACCTTCGATATCCACGGTAAGCTAGACCAAGTCCCTCCTCCCAGTCCCATTCTCCTTTCATCTGAATAAGCTGACATCTTTGCACAACGATGAAGCACCAGTGTTCTCATCTGGATTGCTGCCAATGACGATGATGAACACAATTCGTTTTTGAAATCCGACAATGCACCTATTGTGTTACCATCTTGTGCATCCCATTTCGTTATCTGAGAACTGACAAAAGGTCTGTTTTCTAAAACATCGACGTGTACAGGCATTTGTCACTTAAATCTCCATATGTGATAAGGAGTTCATCAACTTCCAAGTCTTCACTACTCATACGGAACAGCATTGGACCTGAAAAAATCTCCGGAGTTTACATAAACATCAGCTGAAATGAAACAAATTCTATTAGAATAGATATGCAGTAGCGTAGGTGAATGAAACGAACTGGCGGAAACACTGGGAATCCATCCCCCAAAACTGTCAGTGGGTTGGCGGTCAGCAAATAAACCATATATTTGAGGGTCACAAAATTTTGCGCTTTTACGGCAACAACACAATCAGCATACTTTCCGTCGGGCCATAAGTACAGCAGATGGGCACAATCCTGGAACATAAGAGAAAGGAAATACAGAACACTTCATATATATATATATATATATATATATATATATCAATAACAGACCAGCATATTTCAAGCATACAGTGTGCACTATTGAGGTTCGTGTTTGATCGCTACGAGAACGCGATTTAACAAAGAATATGTAATGGTCGAAAAAGACGCGTTAAAAACTAATAAGCAAAAGGTAAGCAGGTCAGTCCTTTGAACTGGGGTCCGTTGCTGAGATTGCACAAGGTGAAAAAGCAATACGGTAAAGTAGGCAAACTGCATGAGCTAGGTTGAATCAGGAGCAACTGCACGGCAAGGACTGGCTGACAAAATGAGGACGACTAAATAGGAACGAGTTGTCAGTGAAAACCAAGTGGAAATCAAGTTATGATGCATTTAACATCACCGTTAGGGTCCAGAGACTATGCGAAAATAAAAAGATTTAAGTGACCTTTTCATGATATTGTGGTAATTACGAGAACGTGATTTAACAAAGAATATGTAATGGTCGAAAAAGACGCGTTAAAAACTAATAAGCAAAAGGTAAGCAGGTCAGTCCTTTGAACTGGGGTCCGTTGCTGAGATTGCACAAGGTGAAAAAGCAATACGGTAAAGTAGGCAAACTGCATGAGCTAGGTTGAATCAGGAGCAACTGCACGGCAAGGACTGGCTGACAAAATGAGGACGACTAAATAGGAACGAGTTGTCAGTGAAAACCAAGTGGAAGTCAAGTTATGATGCATTTAACATCACCGTTAGGGTCCAGAGACTATGCGAAAATAAAAAGATTTAAGTGACCTTTTCATGATATTGTGGTAATATACAGGAATCAACGTTAGCGTTGGCTTCGAAGCGGACGGAAAGCAAGTATCAGTCACAAAGAAGTAACTGAACAGTCGACCTGTTGTTGAAAGACCACTGCTATTGAAAATATGTCTCTAGAAACACGTCAAAACTGTCTTCTTAAGGGAGCAATTACATTTAGCTTACTAGTAGCTAACGGAGCTTCATAATATTCATATAATAACCATTTAACTGAAATGTAGTTGCCATGAAGTCTAAAATACTGTCAGGTTACCGAGACGCCAAGGTTGGGTTCGAACCATGGACCTTCCGGCCAGCAACCTCGCGTGTTCACTACTGAGCTATTTCGAGCTCCATAGTACACAAGTGTGCGTAGCCAGCGGAGTGTTGCTGTAAATCAGATCGTTAAGTGACCTAGAACTAACACTTCAACTGGGCAACTTTTCCCCTATGACCAAGTTGGAGTGTGTGAATAGTCGCTGGGATCTAACCAAGTTGGCTTATGCTGAAGAGCTGAGAAGTTATTGTTGTTACTGGGGATCGTAGGTAGTGTTTGTATTCAAAAACATAGGTTCAATCGCACAGTAGCGACCAACCTTGGTGGCGCGAAGCAGAGCCAACTGAAAGCTGGTCACGGGCATCTCGGATGAGTCTACCGATTTCTTTCCTGCATTTTATGAGTAGCGACGACAATTTGAAGCTCCATTTTGGTTTTTATCTAATTTTCTTCGATAGCGAGGGTGCACATGTGCAAAATAGTTAGAAATGAACAAATGTACACCCCCCAGAAAACGTGATATGCCTTAATAACGGACAGGTTAACGTAAACGGACAGCAGAAAGTATTTATCATTTGAGTCTGTGAGGTTTTGAAAGGCAGGCCAAGAGGAAACCATGGAAGTGCCTCTATGAGCTGAAGGTTGTTTACTACGGAGTTCTACGGTAGGTTGTCGGTCTGGATATTCATTGGGAGGGCGAACCATTCACTCGTGCAAAGGAAGTCCAAAACTTGAAAGCTATAGTTGATACTAGAATTGTTCATAACCACAAGTGTGGGTTCATCAAACTGTTGATCGGTCATTCGTAACCGGATGTTGTAACGTTCGGCTATTAACCCGGAAGCTGCGCGTTTAAACATCCCTCGAGATCTGTGAAGTACGACCTGTTGATAATGCCTTTCAGAATGGTCGTTAGTTTGTTCGCTGAGCTGGGCAATTAGGTTGCAAACGTTTCATCCTCAATGGAAGTGACATCATCAGTGCGCTGTTGGGGAGCGCAGCGATGGGTCGGTGGTTGTGTCTCTGATTAACCTCCGTTAAAAATAGACCGATCACAGTAGTGCCTGCGTTGGTGATAATGCATATTTATCATGCATCACGTGTTGGTCGGAAGAGACGGATGCAAGACAGTTTCAACGACATATCGTGACCAGTCTTTTGAGAACTTACCTAGGTCGGATAAAGCAGTTTGCATATCATCTTCCGTATAGTCACGTTTTGGGAACGTTGTGAACAAAATGACCGTAGCGGGATCCAATCCATCTGATCCATTAGGCCAATGCTGACATACGTAGAGTCGAACTGCGCTGAGCGGTTCCTTTGCACCAAAGTCATATTTCAATGGCTGTNATGGCTGTCCGGGGGAAGACGAATCTGCAGTCGACATACGGTGGCATCTGACTTAGTTGCTTGCGGTGGCAGGGTGGGTTTAGAATAAGGGGCTGCAGCAGCTTCCCCGCGTTCACGCATTTTCTAAAAGGGATGTTGCAAGATAAAAAGGAACCCGACAAAACATATCATCAGGAAGGAAATAAACCCAGTGAGAAATCATGTTACATATAGGTTAGATAATATTCTTGTAAAGTTCGTGAGGGACTGGATAGTCATCTACCTAACCAAAATTAAGGTATAGAACTTAGCGCGAGATAATCACGACGGAATATAGCAGGTGTAGTGCTAGTCGCTAAACAATCAAAATCCCAGCAGATGAGTGTAACGAGCCGGTCACTAGGGGTGCTCAACTGTGAAAGTGATGCAAAACAGTGTCTGAGTAGAGAGGAATGGGAGGGACAGGAAAAGGGTAAAAGTGACAAGCTTAAGTAGGGAGCAAGCAAAAGCGGATGAATTACAGCTTGTATATGTAGGATTTTCACAAATTTTAAGTAATACACGTGAAAAAACCGTACTATGGTATCTTTACTATCGGCTGCGCAGAACCCTGAGGCTGATTTTGTACCGCATAAAAGGATAGCATAAACAATGGATTCATTTAACCTAGTCCCAATGAATGATTTGTTCAGCTTCCTGGAGACAATTACCAGCTTAGTGTAACGTACCTAAACGAGATCCTGCATAAAAATGACATACAATAGCTAAACAGTTAAGCTTAAAGTGAGGTATAGGTTCAGCGCCGAAAATACCGAAGTGCAAGCTTCTCTATTACCTGCAGGAACGATCAAAAAGATGATGGCTCAGAAGGCGCGAGGATTCTGCCTACTAGTTACTAATTCCATTTTGTGTTCCCGTCTCACAGTCCGTATAGCAACATGGTCCTTCATTCAACCAGTAAAAGAAGTAGCATATGTAACAAACATACCAGTCACAGTCATCATCATCATCATCATCATCATCGACAGCATGATATCAGTGTTCAACACCGATGTCGTACAATCATGATTTATACAAAAGTATTATTGTGAAGAATAAAGGAGGACGGGGAAGGGACTTTGTGCTAACTTATTACAGGCATTCTAAGGTGCCTACACCTTCAAACACTCATTCAGGAAATCTGGATAGAAACTGACAACGAGAACGCCATTGTCACCGACTAGTAGCCATATCTTGCAACGTCTCCAACCAGGCGCAGTGGGGATCACGCGGTCCCTCTACTGGGAGGCTAGTGCCACTGACAGCACCCAAACATCTCCTTCATACTCCTCTGCCAGATGAAGGGTTGGCCATCTCTATGCTTGCGCATGGAAAACAGCACTCTTCGGCAAACGATGGTTAGGCATACGCAACAGATGTCCCAACCAACGAAGCTCCTGGTGCTGGACACATTCTTTAATGGAAGTACCTGCTGCACAACCGAAAACTCGCTTTCTAATTGCCTCGTTACGGATACGCCGGCAACAACCCACAAGAGCTATGGTTCTGAGACAATGATTATTGAACACCTGAAGACATCTCAGTTACGCTGCTCGAATCGATACAACAAAACAGTCGGTACTGTAGCTTGATACACACGTCCCTCGAGATTCAGGGTTAAACCACACTTACGCCATAGGTGTCTCAAATTAGCAAACCTCGCAGATTCGTGCATTCGCTTCATCTGTCACACTACAATCAGAACTAATACAACTTCCAAGGTATGTGAAACGCTCCACAACTTCGAATACCTCTCCCTGGATTGTAAGTTAAGTGGCCTGTGACTGCACGTCCACGATAATAGCCCTACACTTTGCGGGTGCAAAGTGCATACCAAAGGACAACATAACTTTGGTCAGTTCATTCAAAAACATTTGAGCCTTCTCTTCGAAGTTGAGAACGATGTCCTCTGCGTAGTCCAGACCGACAAGGGTATCGACACAGGCTATTTGAACACCGGGGTTTCGGAGAGCTTCCAGCGTTCCTCTCATGATTTCATAGATCACGAAGTTGAACAGGAATGGGGAGAGTGGGCATCTATCACAGACACCGCATTGTGTACCGAAGCTTTTGGAGAGCTCGTCATGTAGTCTGCCACAAAATCTAATAGTCTTATATAAAGAGCTTATAATGTTCACAAACTTCCGGGACCTTCCTTGGTGGACAAGAGTGTCAAGAACAGACCGGTAAACCGAGTCGAATGCGCCTCGAAAATCCAGGAATACTACAATTGTGGGTCACTTACACGTATGGCGTTCTTCTGGCACCTGACGAAGTGTGAAGATTTGGTCAACGCAACCCCTACCAGTCCGGAATCCCGTTTGCTGCTCTCGAATCAGTATCTCACGAGCCACCGTAAGGCGACGAAGTACAAGTGACGCCAACAGTCTCCCTAAGACCGGGGTCAAGTTACCACACTCCCTACGCGCCCCTTTTTTGAAAACGGGCACTATCACCGATTCTCCCCAGTTTTCTCCCCAGTTTCTTGAACAGACTCCTTTTCCCAAATACAAACAAACAGATCAGACAAGCGTTAACTGAGGACTTCAAGCCCGTCTTTGAACAATGCGGATGGAAGGTCATCTGGAGCAGAAGCTCGGTGGTGTTTGAGAGAACAGTCGTAAACCTCCGAGGCCGCAGGTGGTTCTACGTCCACCGTCCCGGGTTCTACGTCAACTGTGGGCTCCAGGTGAGTGGCAGCTGGTGGCCACGACACGTGTTGTTCGAAGTATTCGGCCCACCAGTCGATGCGTTCTTCTTTACTCAAGATAGTCACTCCCTTTGGGTCCTTGATCGTTTCGCTTACAGGTGGTCTCCGGGGACTGGTGGCGCGGATCAACTGAGATGATCTTCTGACATTCGCGGCTTTCTGTCTCTTCCATTTCCTTGGCTTTGTGTCCACCACAATTCACGGTCGGCTCACAAACTCACCTTTACTTGACGTCTGATAATTCGTTGCACCATGTTATGTTCGGGACCGGCTGGGATATTTCTCCGAGATTTAAGCAATGCCATTGTTCGGTGCTTGAGCACGCCTGGTGTGCCGTGCCATAGGCGAAATTCCAAGCGCTATGCAAAGAGGTAGCGATTTCGTTCACTGCGAGTTCACATCAGATGGTGGAACATTTGGAAGAGTCCGGTAAGTTCGCTTAACATCCTGACTTGCCAGTCCCTCAATGGCGACTTATCCGTACCTTAAACCCCTGGTTAAAGAGCCTTTAGATGACAGGTCCGTAGACCAACTGTCACTCATGCCATTTTATAGAGGGATTCAGTTGAGTCACCCGTTAGTAGCAACTTCACTCACAAATGAGTACAGTTGCGTACAATTTGATATTCCAGCAAAACAAGATTGCCTGGAACCCGGCAATTATAACTATCCGATGATCCTCAAGATGGACGAAGTTGGTTGTGAGCTGTGGAAGAGTATCACAGAGTGGTATGCTTCGTCAGGAAAAATGTTACTTCAGCTTCAATCCAACTTGCTTGATTGCAAGTATTTTTTTTTGAAATTTCTCCTCAAGACTACTTACTGCTCGTTGTACAGGAAAACCAAAATTCCTTTAAGGCTTCTGCTTGAGTTGATCAGCTGATAGGGAGCTTTCATTGTTATAACACAATGCCTACAGAAGTTGTACTAAGAACGGGAAATCAGGTAAGTACAACAAATATTCACGTTTGTGTAGCTTATAACTGACAAACCGAATGGACAGATACCCATAGATAACATGAATCCTACATTTACTGGCTGTTGGTAAGCGTCTGCTGTCACGCACAAACAAAATCTACTGTTACACTCAGTACATGAAAATGTGTACCTTCTCCTCGCGTTCTCGAGCGATGTCCGCCTTGAGTCGCTCCCTGCAAAGGAGAAACGGGAAAAATGATCAGAATACACGTCTTGAAAACCGTGTTCCACATCCAGGTCAGAAGGCAAAGGACAACAAACAAACTAAAACGATCTACATTAGGTGTCAAGTCTGAATTACAAATCAGATGGATTGAATTATTTCACGTGAAAATAGCGTATCAGGGCCAGTCAGTCAATCAGCCAGTTTTTCAACCATTATCCGCGAATCAAGCTATGCTTTCGTGCATTAGGGATACGGGAACAGGGTGAACCGTCACACATTCCAGGCGATGGTTTAATAAATTAAATCGTTACCGTTTCAGAATGGCTTGATAAACAATCGCTGAGTATATTGCTGAGCAACGCTTTATGTTTGACACAAAAGCTTCGTCAGAAGAGAAGGTTATCGGACAGACGTAGTTTTAAGGCGGATGAGAAACTAACTAGCAAGATCTTTTCCGATTAGCATACTAGGTCAGTATTAAAAGTTCTTGTCGGTAGGTGCCTAGGTCATACGGCCGACGGGTTGGATGACTTGAAACCATTTCGAACGGATCTAGGTCCGGATCAGGGTGATACAAATGATGATTTCCATTGGGTGTTACTATTAAAATTTGTTGGTCTATTGGTTTTGTATGTTCCACGACAATTTGCTTAGGGGATGAGCTTACGTGAACTTTTGGTCCGCTTGGGGTTCGCGCTTCTGTTGATGACTCCTGAGGTTGATAACTGCACGTGTCAGCTTGTTTCTCACCGACCTGTTTATTTTTCTCACCTATTATGGTGTGAAGTTCTCAGACTCTAGTGCAGTCGCGGCATTGGTTTTTACAGACAGTCTGTGGTTCTGTTTACCGGGAGATGATCCTAGAACTGCGCTGGTACAGAGCGTAGTGTTATTTGTGCTTAGGATCCTTCGAATGACTTCGAAGGTTGGCAATGTTATGGAATGTAGGTACCTCGGGTGCCCTGCTTGGTTGTTGATCTGCTCGCCAAGCTTAGCAGTTGGATTGCATACGTTTCATCGCCAATCGAGGTGACATCGTACGTGCAGGGTTGAGTGGGTGAATTCCTCTTCTTCTGCCTGTGATTATATAGCTTCTAAACAGTATCTGGTAGCTCTGGAGACGGTCTTCGAGTTGTTTGATTGGTCTCCTGTGAATCTGGTGTGGTCTCGATCTCCTGTGTCTGGTTGGTTCGTTGGGCGCATTGGATTCGGCAGTTCTGTGTGTAGTTGTTCTGTTGTGATTCGGCCCTTTTCTTCTTGCTTTCTGGTGTGGGTTTTTTTCCCTTGATTTCGGATTTCCCTGGTCACTATGGAATAACAGCCATCCCAGTCCATATTTTGCTGGGTTTCACCCCGAACACTGCCTTAAAGTCTGTTCTTTGCTTCGGTTCGGGCAGTTTAACTTCTTCCGCCCACATGACCCTTACAAGGCTACACATTGATGAGGCAATACTAGCGAATATCGACCCAGGATAATTGAAAATCGCCCCATTGCGAGTTAACTTCTGCTACACGGTGCTTTCTGGTTTTCCACCAACCAGACGCGTCATAAAATCGAAGGGTAGTGCGCCCGAATGACTCTATCCTCATACTAGATTTGATGTGGAGATTAAGGTGATTCAGGCAGTTGTAAAACTCACCATGTGCCGTTTAGTGTCTCCTACGCGGTGTTCAGGAGTATTCACTGGGCACGGGAATCAAGCTTAATCTTTCTGTCTGAAATTTTTCATTGAGGATAAATGCCAAAACCGAGGATATTGGAGAACCCATTACTAGACACTGTGTCAAGCATGGATTCAAGAACGGAGTGAATGAGATGCACTCATGCTATTATACCTTCAATGTCAATATCGATTGGTGATGAAACGTTTGCAATCGAATTGCCCAGCTCAGCGAACAAGCCAACGACCATGATAAAGCTTATCACAGCATTCCCACTACCTAATAGCCCCCCCCATCGCATTACGACTCCATTCCTGAACCGTTTGCTTGGGTGTTCACAGCACGCGTCAGGGATAGCTTAGGCCACCGGTGAATCCTCTGAAATCCGAACACTGCCCCAATCCAGATAAATTTGCCAAACACCTTGAACTCTCCATTGGCAGGGAGCACGAACAAGTCAGTTTGGTTGCTATTTTTGCAGGGGTTATTCTACACAATGATGAATAACAATGTATAAAGACCGGTGTTTCACGACAATCACCAGGGAATATAGACATGATAGAACAGACTTCACACTAAATGGTTGCCTTTTACAAAATACATTTGAGGCTCAAAAGTCTTCCAGTGAACAAATCAAAGGAGGCGAGACGGATCAGACCGCGAATTTACTGACCGTAAGGTCCGTGGTACGAACCCGACCTCTGCTTGGGCAACTTGGCAGTATCCCAACCCTTATGCTTTCTTCGGGCGGCATGGTAGCAACGAACGGACCAAATGTACGACCCACATATTCTTCTAACTGTCCAGCGTTCCTCGAGCTCTCAACAGAGTTTCCTTTTAAACTTTTGAGCTTCCGGAATTCCGGTACCATAGAATCTGCTTATTTTCTACTACAGGCAAGTAGAATACCATAAACAAGAACAAGACACCACAACCATCCATTGTCTAGGTCATTACTCCGAAATTCTAATGAGCTCCACCATTGGCTGAGACATCTGGTCGCGCAGAAGCTAAAACCATCGACAATCCATGAGAAATTGGGAGACTGTCAAGCATATAAGCAAGAATAGTCAGTAATAATCCAAGAAAAAAACTGGGAAGGCGGTTCCGTGTGAGAAAGCGACACAATTTTGCAGCGAACCGTACTATTGCATCCCAAACTTGCAAAAATTGGATAAGATATCCGCGAACTGTAAATAACACAGCCAAGCGATTTTCACACTGCATTTCGTCCAAAATCGATTAGTTTTCAAGTGCATTCGACGGCGACGAGGTATTACCCACTTGTTAAAGACTGGGTAGCATGTAAAAGCTCTTACCTGTATGCTCTGTCCTCCTCTTTCTCGCGACGCCTTTGTTCAACCAGACGTTTCATTTCGTCTTCTTCAAACTTCGCCTTGGCTGACACAATGTCCTTGCCTTGTCTTCTACGCTGTTTCTCACGTTCCAGCTCTTCTTCTCTTTCTTTGGCTTCACGCTGAAGTTTCTTTTGTTGCAATAACTCCTACCATAAAAAGAAAGTGCATACAAGATAGATGCACCGTAATTTCACGTGTGCTTAGATAACGAAGTACAGAATTTATACACATTTTTCCTCGAAATTTAACAAGATGCAATGACCTTGGCATCTAGGCAGTTCAATCATTAGCAACTTAGCATCGAGTAATGCGGTAAAACATCGCCAAGTCTCATCCAATCCCATCTGCCTCACTCAACGAACGCTAAAAATGGTCGTCTATTCACCTCCAGAAAGGACAAATAGTCTTCTGTGAATATACAATTGGCAGTTTGAATCCGAGCGCGGAGTCAGTAAACGACGGAGTGGGTGTGAACGTATTCTACTGGCGACTGGAGGTCCAGCAAGTGAGTTATGGCTTACGGCCTAAATTAATTGTACACGCTACAGTTGAGTTCGTGGGCTGCTGTGCGACGAGATTTCCGTCTCTCATGCACATTTGTTTTTGACTACTGAAAACCTTTAAGTAGGATGCTCGAACCGAGGCAGCCGGAGTCATCAATGCGGCGAAGTAATACAGTGCCGATCCGTTGTCCAAGTGATAACCCCATTTCACACTTATCGCTGGTGAATCGCACAGAGACCTGAGGGTGTCGCTGTAATAGCAACTGAAAAGCACGGAAGCTAACAAGACATGTTCATGACCAACTACCATAAGACTGTGGAAAGATTGCGCTGACTAAATGGTAAAAAGGGGAACGGTAAGATCTTGTTGCAAAGCTAGTCGCATGGTTTCCCCTGAGGTGAACGATATTTACCATTTGGTTCAATGGTAGGGTTTTTGAGGATCAAAGAGACAGTTATTCGATCAGAGAGTAGTTTGTGTACTGTACATCACCGGGAACCAAATTCGAGATCAGACTCTGTGTTGCCTAGGTTAGACAGAAGATCCTGGTGATCGGGACTATTTAAGAATATCGCACAATGGTGGCAATCAGATCAGAGCCAGATCTAGGACCAAGTGTTCCAAGTAGCAAGGCTACAATGATGGTGATAAGAAATTTTGGGTCACCCTATACAATTGTATAGGAAAAAAACGCTAGCAGACAGGCACAAAATGCGCAGTCAACTGACTGTACCCTTGAACAACAGAAATAAGGAAATAAGAGAGAGAGCAACTAAGTGCCGCACGTAAAACTTTTGCGTGGAAGAGATCACACTATCATAGAGACAAATCGATCACATGAACATTCTTCGGCTGAGAAACTGCGTAGCTAACTTTCATGAATTGAGAAAGTCGCATTCAGTGAATTTGCAGTAGTGCGGTCAGCACAGGAAATCAAATGAATAGGGTATATGCTGACTAAGGTCATTGCCACCCGCGTACCGAAAAACCCACACCATGAATAGCAAATAAGCTGAAAAGTAATTAGACCGTCCGAACGAATTTACAGTTAACCATGACTTTTACCTGTCACAGATACAAACGATTCCATCGATGGAAAAGTTTGAAAACACGTCAAACTGCCACAATAATGTTATACAATTACGCTATACAAAAATCAGTGGACAAGTCGAGCCAAATAAACTATACGGTCAAGAAAAAACTAGGAAAGGTAAAATTTCTGGCCACTAAAGAAGTTGGAACATGAGTCGATTATCCACAAGACTACCCCCTATGGAGAGGCTATCTCAATGGAAGTACAAGGACGATGTCATTTGACGTGGACTACACTGTTGAAGAATACTTAGGAACCCAGCCGAAATTCCTTTCTGGAGAGTGACCTGTCCAAGTGACAAACTTTGTTACCGAAGATAAATCTGATAGCTCATCGGTGTAGCAAAATAATCTGAAATATTTCAACAGGCTAGCCAAATGACCACCGAATATTTGTAAGAGCTTCACAGACCAGCACGGGTTCTTTCGTGCAAACAATGGGGTGTGAAACGACTGACGTCATCGAATTCGCATCAAGGTAATTATAAACCGGGTGTATGGTTGTGCAGCAAGCACTTCAATCACGGGGAACATCCAGCACCACTAACTACGGTGGCTTGGCCATATGCTGTGCATTTCGGAATACCGTCTACCGAGACCAGTGTTCTTGTCCGTGTGTCCTTCAGAATGGAGGGAACCGCGAGGTGGACAAAGAATGAGTTGGCACCTGCGCTTGTCTAGAGACACCGGAAGAAATGGCCGCTGATCGATGTAAGTGAAATACCAGTGTCAACACTAATGTTGCCGTCTCTAATAAGTGACTACGTTTGGCTGCTGATAGAACGCAAGCAGCTGAAACCAATGAAGCTGGAGCTGACAATTATACAACTTCCAGGTCTAACCGACACGTGCCTTACAGAGTAAGCAGCTAGTCCCAACACATTTGGACGCAGAATATCAAAACAGTTAGGGAGTGGAGTTGTGTGTTCGGTTGAAAATCACATACCGAAATGGAGTTTGGCGACACTAACTGTGCCGATCAAGAGTTACACCATTCCGCTAGACCAAGGCTAGGCGGACTAGCATTCCTAAGCTGGGGAAATCGAGATGACTCCGTCTACTCCGATATATTAAAATAAATATGTTGACTGCACCGAAAAGGGTGTTACAGCTAAACGATTATCTCATTATCTTTAATAACAAGTCGTGCTAAACTATTCCCGGGTTACCATGCATGTGACCGCCGGAAGACAAATGACTTTTCTAGAATTTGACTTCAAGAATTCGACAGGTACGTTGGTTGTAATGGTGACTTGCATCACTATTGAAAATGTGGAAGAAACTATGCACACGGCCTTTGAAAGCATCTGCCCCAGGTTGCACACACACACACACACACACACCAATGAACATTGGATCTCATCGCACTTGGCGATTTCTGCCTGAAGCCAGGAGAATTATACCAACGAAAAACGACTACGATGACACGCATTGGTCCCTCAAACGCCGAATAATGAGGAATTTAAAGAATGGAAGAGAAAGTTGATCACAGAGGGCTAAGGAATGGAGGTCTATGTAACAGGAAAGTCACACCCTGTTCCAGCTAATCCGACCAAGCGGTCCGAGGAGTGCGGGTTTTAGTGATGGGACTTCAAATTGTTGACAGAAACGTCGTCTTGAACAATGGACTGAACATTAGCAACTCTACCTGTGGAAGAACTAACTGAACCCGAGTGGGACGTCGACATCAGTCCGATATCGAAAACAGAATTCCAGCCTGCTTTTTCATTGCTTCAGTACAACGAAACACTTGCACCAGAAAATCTGCATCCTGAAATATGCAGAAGTGAGTACGTCGTGGTTAACCTAACAACCCTATTCCAGAATAGTTGGAGTGAGGACAGAATACCGACAGAATGGAACTTTGACGGAGATTTGCATACTCAAAAGGAGTGCTAGAACATCGTGTGAAAACTACCGGGGAACCAGCCAAGTGGTCATTGCTTGCAAGGTAATCTCTGGTATTATCTATCGTAGGGAGAGTCAGATTTGCGAAAGTCAAGCTGGGTTTCGCCCCCGCCAGGTTTACATCGATTACTTTACTTAACAAATGTTGAAAATTCGCCAAAAATTGGAGTCCCCCTCGATCCCAGATCTGCTCATTTAACCGTCAAAACTACGGCGGTCTCTGACAATGAAGAATGTCCGTTTTGTCTCGATGTTTCCTTCCGTCAGCGCAAAAGTATCCACAACAAATGCAGTCCTGAGTTCACCACGTTCAGCGTGGTTCAGGCAAAGTTGTCCTCTGTTACCGTTTCTCTTTCGCTTTGCGATTAATGTGCTCCTTACCTGCCTTTAATATCGCAGGGACCGAAATACTCCAGGGCCGTTCGCCAAATTACCAAAGGCTACACAGGAGCAGTCCAGATGCCCAGAGATTGGGTTCGAACCATGAAGCTATCTCTTGTTAATTTGATGCCCTAATCAATGATATCTCGGGCTTAACATTTTCAACATAATCCCAGTAACTACTCTCAAAATAGTCTGTGACACACTCAAGTCCATAGCGGTTACTTTGGCCGAAGTCGATGCATATAAAAAGAGGTCCACATTGACAATGCAATGGCTTCTCGTTTTTGCGCCCCTCAAAACACGGATGCGCATTTTCGTATACAACCACCTTACATTAGATCTTGAAAGACGCTGCCTAGGAGACGAATATGACAAACAAAAAGCCGAGAAATTTAGACTACTCTTCTTGTACTTGGAGCACGCTTTTATCCGACGCGAGATTCGGAACTTTCCCATAATTTTATGGATTTATTATTCTGTTCATTTACAGTCGCATTCAATACCTTCTGGATTAAAGCGACCTTATCAACAGCCCTCTCCATATATTCGTTGATCAATAAATTCACCTGTACGACAAACGATGAATTGTGCGTGAAACCTATAGTCCTTCGCATTTAGCAGAGAACTGTCAGCTGCATGGTACTCTGGACGGATCTTCCGTGCCAGTCAGTTGAGAAGGATTGTCCTTAGCACCACTCGAAAGGCGGACTCCATCGCTGAGCAGGACAGATTCGTTCTCAGGTACCTAAATAACTGCGATGAGAATTCGTAGTCGGTTGGACGGCGGTGAGTCCACGCTATCTGGGACCGACCCCAATATTTGCTTCAGCCAGTGTATTTGCTTCGGTCATGGTAACCCTAATAAAAGCCGCCTGCAGTAAACCGGAGAAACGTTAATCGGCGGAGACGTCGCTGGAAGAAACTGTTCCAAGCAAGCCGAAGCGCAAGATAGCTTGCGATGTCTGGCTAGAATTTTCTCTGGAATTCCCCTCCCATACATTTTTCCGTACATTTATTCGTTATACCCTCCAGGATATTGTCCGCAGCCATTCATTCCTAAGCTCAGAACCTGGGGAGTCGGATTTAGTTCCGCTAGTATCAAGAACTGTGTTGTATTACCGCCTTTATAATATTTTGTCAAGATAGTTGTTAATACCACAGCTATCAGTAGTACGCTTCTGTCGCCTACATCACCAGGAAATCGAAGATAACTGTAATCCACAGCGTCTGGTTCCAACACGTTAGCCGAATGTTCAAATTTTCCACCATTTGTTTAGATTATGTTGTAAGCTGTCTTCTCATACCAGCAAGTAAAAATCGTGAGTTCATTATTCTTGTTAAAAATTACCACCACCAGACTAAGGAAGTGCATGGGCAGATAATTGTCCAGTTAATCGTACAGTGGGGCCTAGTATGAATCTCCAGTGAGTCACCCACGGCGTAAAAGGCAATGCCGAAATATGGGTGATTTTGACAGATTACTAACTCACATAGATGAGGAAGCGGCCAAAAGAAACTTAATAAGAACGCCTCTTTGGTTATCACCAACTATTTACAAGAATCGGCAATGGAAGTATCTCGTAAACTTCTGAGCAACCCGCTTTCCCCTTAACGGAAATCGCCGAGGTCCAGGGAGAAGATCAACCAGGGATATTGCATCTCCAGCATTGATGAAAAGCATTGCAATCGCAAGCTACATGCCGCGTAGGATCTCACTCCAACATCTAGGAGAAAGCCATTATTAGCACACTTCAAAATTGGTTGTCGTGTCCCCGAGATAGAGGTGGCAGACGAGAAGACAAACATTGTAAACCGGACGTCTTTATGAACAAAAGGTCTACTCGGTAGGCAGATTTTCATTTACCAGTGTTGTTTTTTTCACCCACCGTTCTCAGATTTAGGCGCCATATGCGTGCTACTGTACGATATAACAATAGACGTGGATAATGGTAAAGTTTGGGTGATTTAACGACAAATCAATGGCTTTTTACAAGGAATGGCAAAGATGTTTTCGAGTAGGGATTGCAAGGCTGACTCTGGGATCAATTTGAGAACCTGACCCTAAGTCAATCCGAGTTTTCGTTCACCTGAGCAACACCCACCTAGAACCCAACCATGTACTAACTCTCAGCGAAAATGTACGGCTTCTCCCGGGTTGGCCCGATAGGCCGCGCCCACCAAAGTAATGCCAGTAGGAGACTCAGTGAACGGCTAAATTTACACGCAAATGAACATCACAAACCACTGGAAACCTACCTGGAGCTTTTCCATTTGTAGCTTCCGTTCCTCTTCTGTTAACGGCTTAACCGACTCAGTGGATTCTGAATAATTAACATGACCAGTGCGTACGCTATGCAGTTGAACTTCTTCATCATTCCTCAACATCTTGTTGCATCTGGAAAGTATCTTAACCTATATCAGTAAAACGTACTCCTCACACTTGAACACACGGGCCACAGGAGTTTCACCTCCTTTGCATTCCTCAGGAGCAGCTTAAAAATGAACATATTGTGGATTGCTTACCACCACCTGACTCTGTTACTTCGTTATCTCCCTGATGCTCCACAATCCTGCGATTATTACGAGTCCGCGCAACACAAATATTACCAATCCATTGCCGCACTTAGTCCGTTATTCCCGGTGTTTTTTAAAGCTTTCTCCCTGAAAAATTAATAATGGCCAAAAAACTTTGACAAACGCTAAAGACCGTTCAAATCCCATTTCCAGAAGCTGATCTAAGTCGGAGGCCATATCTGATGTGGCAGTGAGCCCCGGACGTAACGGATGGCGTCCAATGCAGCGTCCCAATGCCAATCAGGATTCTGATTGGCACATTTGCTAAAAGGGCCATTCACGGATTGATGCACAGGATCAAGGCCGCCCACGTTTTTTCGATCGGTCTGTCCTTGTCGTTCATTTGAAAGGCACAGGCGACAAAAAGGTATAGCGTTGCTCTTGAAATTCTCAGCGTGACCGTCTGTCGGAGGATTCACGGATTCACGGATTGATACAAGGATCGAGGCTTTTGCCCAAGTTTCCCGGGTCGGTTTTGTTCTTGTCGGTCAGTGGCTGTCGTTCACCTGAAAGGCACAAGTGAAAAAAGGGTGTAGCACGCAGCAACTACCCGAAATGAGATATAATTTTGCTCCATAAAAGTGAACCCTCTGGGCTTGAAAATCTTATCATGTCCCCGTCGTGGATTAGCTGGATCGGTGGTGAAAGACCCGTTGGCTAAACCTTGTTCAAAACGGGCGTACGTAAATATTAGATCTCCTCGGAGTTTAAGACACTCCAGGGAAAGAGATCAAGTATCACGAGATGCGCTTCATAGCCCCTGGATTTCAGAGAGGCAACCGTTTTCGATGCTGCTTGATGGACACACTCAATGAGTGATACGTCCTTCTTGTACCTGAGTAAATATAAAAGAAGCAGTCTCACGTAGACGCCATTGAGTATCTGATAATCCGTGCGAGTAATACGGGGGAAGGCTCGCCGAAACATCCGTAGAACGACGAATGCCTTATGAGCCAATTTTTCATGCTTTACACAGGACAAGTCTGAAGAGAGCCAGATGCTTAGTTCCTTTTTGCCATTTATGCCTTCCAGTCCATTCTCGCCACGCACCAAAAAGGCGCTCGCCGAGTCCCATCGGAAAGTCATTTGGACGCGCATCTCGTTTGTCGGTGGAAGGTGCCAATACACCGACCGCTGCTTTGCAACGTATTCATTCATTTGGAGGACACTTGCATTTGAACTACAAGATTTCAAGTAGCCAGCAAAAAGTGGACAATGACTTGTAGAAACATCTGGAAAGTCGTAGACATACATCAGAGACAGCGAAAACGGAGACTCGAGGAACTCCGGTGGGACTGGTACCGGAGTGTGGTAGGTTGAGCCTACTTTCATTGAGATATTTTGTCTGATATGAATGCCTTATTCCAGCATAGTATCTTCCTTGAACTGCGTAAGACCCCAGTTTAGGGAGGAGCGGAGCATGTGTGCCTCCATCGAATACTTTATAAAAGTCGAAAAAATATGTTATACTATGTGACCCCCTCGTCCTTAGCTTGTGTTAAACTTTACATAAATACGAGCAAGTTTTCCGCACTGAGACGGTTTGGGAGGGATTCGTGTTGCACTGGAGAAATAAACCTATTCGCAGTAAGGTCAACTCGGACGGCCCGCTTAAGAATGAGTCGCGTCAACTTGAACGGTACGCTAGTGAGGCTACTAGGCCTAAGGCTGCCGGGCAATACCTGGTCACCAATTTTGTAGATTGGCTTGGTAGTTGCTTCCTTTCAAATCAAGGCAAGATCGATATAAACACATTATATGCCACCCTCAGCAACCCAGCTAGTTAAAACGTACGAGGTGGAGACCGGGAAATTCTACAGTAAATCACGTGCGACAATCACAAGTTAAGGGCCTGTACAACCCCGGATGCTTAGGTTATTGCCGGAAAGTATGACGGCATACCGCAGAATGCACTCCCATGGTCTCTCCTGTCTACCCCGACCTGCATAGCAGCTTTATTTTTTGGGTCTTCCAGTCTGAAGATATCATGCAATCGAATTTTTATTTTTCATATATCAAGAAATAAGATTAACCTTACACCAAAGAAGTTTCAGAGATCATCAACCTCTTTGAGAGTACAGCTTTTTATTTTCTCTCAACATGGGTATCATGTTGCTGTGAATCGGATGGCATAAAGAATGGCTTAGGGTGTTTTGTGTTGAGGTATGGGTCAGGCACAACGTAAGTTCTGCTGAAATCTGTGGCGGGACTTGTGTGTAGTCAATGTTCCTAATAGGGGAAGGGGGATTCTTGGAGCCGGAAAATATGACAACTAGCATAAATCTAGCAATTATCCTAGTGTGTGAGAGAGAACCGGAAATCACGGAACATTCTCTTTTATTTGAATCACAGTTCATTCATCCGGAAGTCCAGAAAAATGGCAGAATTCTATTGGAAGACAGTTGTTCAATATCCATGTTAATCTGCCGCTCGCCTTGAAACTGGTGGCGGCTGGTGGTTACTGATGGTCACGCAAAGTTGTGATCTTAAATCATTACGCGATAACTTATAAAACAACCATTTACTTTGGCTGGATCGTTGGAGAAATTCATTCTGATGGTTGTAGGACAATCGATGCTCTGGGTGTTGGATTCCCGAAACCCGGCTTTTGCAGCATTAAATAATCGTCAGACTTCTTTCGAGAGTAAAGGAATCGTCGGTTAGTCAATTGTCCCGCTTTACAAAGAGTGCTCTAACACTCAGGGTTTTCACGAGCATACGAACTCAAAGGATTTCACGGGAGCTGGTTCTTGCCTCAAAGTTATTCTGGTAGCATCAGCAGGTCCCAAAGTTACCAGGTTGATCCTCGGCTCTGAGAGTGGTGATATGGGTACAGTTCGTTCTTACAGTCGAACACCCCTGCATAGGCTTGGACGACGTGACAGTATCCCAGCCCTTGTGCTTCCCTTTGGCAGTAAGCCATCGAAAGGGTACTACAGCTGAACGGACGGGAGGCCCGCATTTTGAAGGTAGAGGAACAAACCACGAGTTGAATCTTCACAGTGCGACCCATGCATGGCCACTGGTGTCGCTTTGGCAGTAAGCCATCGAAAGGGTACTACAGCTGAACGGACGGGAGGCCCGCATTTTGAAGGTAGAGGAACAAACCACGAGTTGAATCTTCACAGTGCGACCCATGCATGGCCACTGGTGTCGACCGTTTTTATGCTACGCAACTACGTAACACGATTTCAATCTCTCGCAAAAAAACATCAGTCGACGAATGAAACAGCGCATGTGCCAGTACTTCCGACTTTTCTCAGGGGGGACTGGCCAGTGTGCTTATGATCGGGCCACGATCGCGGTTTGTTGCCCAGTGAAAAATTCACCTGTCACGCACCTTGAACAAGCGGGTAGTGCCAGTCGGGATAGAGTTGAAGGAAGAAAGAAAAGATGAGAAATTAAGATAAAGGTATTAAGGTTATTATCGAGTTAGCATTGTGCACATTGTTTAGTTTTGCGGAACTTGCCTGTTCATGTCCAAATTAGGGTGGGGTAGGAGCGATTGCCTTGGCGACAATGTGACGGCGGTGAGTGATTTAATAATAGGCAATTGTAGGGAATTTCGACAGCGTAGCTTTCAGAAGGATTACGCACCACTTTTACCCGTCGTTCATCATCCGGCTCTCGCTGCGGCATCTGTAAGTAAAACGCACGAAGTTGTCATGACGGGAAAGTCTTGAGCCGGGGTTTTTTGGGCGGAAGTGACGAGAATCATCCGATATTAATTGTTCGATCCATCAGCCCAGGGTGTTACGATACCTCAATGGTTTGGGGCAGCTGGCAGCCTGGTGTTAGGTAGGAAAACAGGCTACATCGGAAATGACATTTGATGCACGTGAGCAGCAAATGTATCGAATATAAGTTCAATTCGGCAGTGCGTGGGAACAAAAATACAATGCAGTAGTAGCTGTATGGAAGTGCAGGGTCTCAACGCATCTTGCCCTGGTAAACCGACTCGCTCGAAAAGCTTCCTGCTCAGGATACCCATGACTTTCATCTGAAGACGGAAACTCTGCCTCCTGATCGAGCGGATTGCACACTTTCACCAACGTACGGAACCCTACCTTTCGACTGCGATCGAATTGCTACTGGCATTAACTTGTGAATTAGGGAACTTGTGTTTCACCGAGATAAAAATTGAGACTGGACGTAGCCGAATCCGGTGGAGCAGCGATTGGCCGGGATATAAGGGATGATTTACAAGTCAAGGCAAGCTACGGTTAACCTAGGCCGATCGGGGAGGAGATGATTATGCATAACAAATTCTAAAATATGCCAGATTACCATCCGTTTAAACCCTTTCACGAGAGGCCACCAAGATCATTCGGCCCATGGCTGTTCACCTGACTACGTGACCCATAAGTGTTAGAAGAATGGTAGCACAATGCTTGCTCGCCGTTAGTTGCGCCTTCTTCCAAACGAGGTTTCAAAGAAATAAGCCCTAAGTTCGATAATCAGATCAGCCAAAAACTCTTTTGTTCGCTGAGTTTCCGTTCATTAAACAAAACTGGATTGGTTATCAGCAAGACGTGGGGTTGTTGTTTCACTACAATGGTGCCCATTCCAAATATCGGGTGACAGCCGTGGGAATTCCGACTCAGATTGTAGAGCTTCGTAATTGCAACGCGAATTTGAAATCTCTCAGGTCTCTTTGATACTGTTAGCACTAATGCCACCATTTATTATCGGCCTTCCTATCCCTTCCCTTTTCTACCTGGCCTAATCCGAGGACTATTTCTGATTTACGTATTTAGTTGCCTGGCGAATTCCACAACACACTCTAGACCCCTAAACTTGATGTTGTCGCGCTTTGAAACTCTGTAACCTTTCCTCTTCTAGAGTGGCTTGAAAGACTGCCCAGGAAGCTGTAAGCGTTTTATGTATATGGCGTCAACAGAAGTTCTTCATTTGAAACGTCGCTGGCTGGTCTTCTTCTTCCTCAAGCTCATGAGGACAGGATCTACCTCGCTGAACCTTGTGATCGATGAAATTTGTCGGGTATCAAGTCTCTTCAATTAAGCCAAGCAATCCTGCTCATTTCAAGTGGCATCAGTGCGGAGAAGTATGTTGATGGATAAGCGTCCTGTAGACATTTCACTGTATACCCCGTCCAAGAAACATTTTGTACATCGCTTCCGAACGCTGTACGCCCCATGGGATCAGGCCCCCTTTGAAATCCGGAAGAATCCCTAGTCCCTGCAAGTCAACCAGATAGCCAATACCTGACTGGCGCAAGCAGTTGTGTTACCTACAGAGCTTGGTTCGCACTCGCTAAATACTGAGCGCATGTTACCCGTTGGTAGATTGCTAAACCTGCCAGGCGAGTCTGGGGTTTCCAACTAGCAGGCCGTGTTCTACTCGCGTGAGTTTCCCTTGGTGGTACAGCAAGATCAATTTCAGGATTTTTATCAGTGCATCTTAAAGCCATTTTTCCTTCTTTGGGAATTTTTGGGACCGCCCTCCTTTCTGAACATGCGGAATGCCTCCTGCCACCATGAACTTCCTCATCCTGCGTACACTTACGGTTAAATGCTAAGGTTTAAATATTTACAGTCTAAATACATCCGTCAACTTCAGCCAGGTTTATGCTGATCATACGATATCTGCTTTGTGGGTGGTTAACAGAGTCCTGCACAAGGTAACTTATTTCTCGTTCACTTGACGCTGTCTGTTTCATCCATCTTCAGAGGAAAGAAATTCCACTAGAGTATTACACCATTTACACTTGACGCGACTCGGCTATTTAATTTTGAACGCTGTTGATTTCACCCGTGAATCAGTGGCAATCAGCGGTTATTTTCACCATCTAGTCCGACTACTCATGGATGTTGCGATTTACGACTGTCTAGTGTCCATCGTTTTGCACCCGCCTAAGGTCTGATTACGATATAGTTACAAACGTTATTGTTTTGTTGCCTGTTCGTATTTTCATGCAATTTCGCATCAGCTATCCCCGTTTTCCTGTATCTGCTCCGACCAAAAATCGGATCATCCGTCGATCCAACTCGGAACCCTCCAGATGCTGGATGAACACGTCATCCGCAGCGCCAATTCAATTTTTCACATGGTCACGTTTCTCTACTACATTTGTTTGCATCCCACCTAATAGCGTTTGTTGTGATTTTTTGAATGGACCAAAATTGGATTCCGATTTCACACGCGGACCATTCTGCCTCGTCATTTTGCATCTTATAACTGTAGGCGTATTTAATCTGTGCCCATTTCACTCGGCACTAGTTTGCCGGGCAGATTTCACAACATATTGACCGCATCCTGCGCCGTTAGCTCTCTGCGTGGTCCATTTACACTGCACGGTTACCATTTCCGTA